ACACCGTAAGAAGGCTGCCCGTGGAGGACCACCGGGCCCACACGGTAGCCGCAGGCGCGGGCATGCGTCGGAGACGACCAGGGGCGGCGAAAGCGGTCCGCTCCTGAAGGCTGCACCCTGCCTTGTCCAGCTTCCTGGCGCTAGCCGCCGCCAGGACACCGTCCCTGTTAAGGTCCACCTTAGTGATGGCCGGCTTACTCCCTTCGGAGGAGGTCAAAGACCCGTTCTGTCAGGTAAGCGAGGGCCCACCTAACGCGGACACCGCTGAGCTCTGGCACATAGCTGTGCACGCCCACCTGTTCGCGAGCCTGGTCCACCTGGGTGACACGCCCAAGTCTGCACCTGCCGCGTCTTGTCAAGTGAACTACCTGCTTAGCCTCTCCAAAGACCTGCTGGCCGAGGCTAGGGCGGGATTCCTCCCCACCCTCCTGGTCCTCATCCTGAAAGGGGATGAGATCGCGAGGCTCTGGGGCTCCGCGTCAGGGGGAACGAGGATACAGTCCTCGGCGCGAACCTGAAAAGGTACCCCCCCGTACGTCCGGAACGGGTTTCAGGGTAAGCCTGTGTCCCCGCACGTCTACGACGCGCCAGGGACCGGTCAGACCCGGCTTCCAGGGAACCCGACCCGCTTGCGGTCCCAATGGACCTTCACCGCAGTTGCGAGAACTGCTTAAACTGCCCACGGGCCCAATCGATGGGCTCAAATTCCAGCGCCTCCCTCAGAATATCCTTCTCGAGGGGGAGAGCGAGCGACCAGCTCCGCTCTAGCCGGGAGTTGTCGATGACATACTCCGCGACCCTCCAACACCTGACGGACCACAGCGCCCAAGACCTTCTGCACCTCCTGGTGCACGCGCTCGTTGGAGCCCTGCTCACACGGCCGCAAGGGCGCGCCAAAGCGCCACCCCGCGCCTAGCATAGCGCTGAGCTCGGCCATGAGCGCGTTCTTGAACTCCACCCCGCGGTCCGACCGCACGAGCGTGGGCATCGTCCTGCTCCGCAGGACGCAGCGGACAAACGCCCGTCGGACCTCGGAGTGCGTGAGCGACCGCATAGGCTCCAAGAGCACTGCGTGGCTCAGGCAATCGAAGAAGGTCAGCGAGTAACGATAACCCTCGCGATCTTCGCGATTTGGCCCCTCGCAGTCTACGCTGACTTCCTGCCAGCAGGTTGAGGCGCCGCATTTGACTGCGCGCGCCTCTACCTTCGTGGGCCGAGCCCTGCCTTTGATACAGGCCAGGCACTTGGACACCCGCCTCCGACGACCGGTGCGCCCCCAGCACGCCGCAATGGACTGCGTTGTAACACGCTCGGCGCCAGGTCACTCCGTTCGCCCCCGCGAACCCGTTAGGGACCACGGGGACTGTGGCCCGTCCTGAGCGTTACGTCGCGCTCCAGGAGACCGTCCGCCGCCAAAACCATAGGCGGTTCGGTCTTGTTGAAGGACCCGGCGAGCGAGGGATCCCTCCGCTGCGCCTCATACCAGGCAGTACGGATAGAACCCGTGACTCGAAACTCCGAGACACCAGCCGCGTCCCTAGCCTGGACCGCAAGCTGTTCGCGACGAAGCTCGTCCGCGTTGACCTCCATAGGAAAGGCGAAGGACTTAGGATCCACCTTCACCTTTATCCTTGGAGTCTGATGGTCCCACTTAGTAAGGACCAAATCCTGAGTAAGCAACTCCAGGATGGCGCAGGGCTCCTTGTAGAGGTCTCCTACAAAGCAGAGGGCCCTGGCCTTCTTGGACTCGTCAACCTGTATCTTCCGAGGAAGGGGAGCCGGGCTCCAGTGTCCTTCTTCCAAACAGGTGAACGTAGCCAAGATGCCCTGCTTTCGCAGGGACTTCCGGTGAGCGATGCGCGCCTCACCTTCGCTGTCGAACCACCCTTCCACACGGCGCGGTTTCCCTACCATGCAGATGAGCCGTTCAAACCTCGGGTCGAGCGCCAACTCCTGGCCGCTCGAATTCCACATCCGCTCGCACACCTCATTCACGAGGTGTCGGTGGCCGTGCCAGTTCAACCGACCAGGTCAGCTTGACGCTGCCCTTGACTGTGTCAACGGGCGCGCTGCTGTGGCCTAAAACCACCGCGCCCTCACGGACCACCCAGCACGTGATGTATAAACGTTGGTCAGAAGAAGAGCCTCGGCTGAGGGAGTAATGAGCTCCAGCCTGCCAAAGTCTTCCCCTGAGGCTGCCGAACAAGGTCTGAACAGCCTCATCCCTGGGCGCCTGCATGAAGCCGGCCGCCCAGGATTGGACGGCGGAGGAAGGAACCTCAACTACGCCCCCAGCGCGCTCCTGCGCCGCCAGGACGCCGTTCACTTCGACGCCCACGTCAGGCGATTCAGGGTCGCGGTCCGGAGACCCGCGGACCTCCGCGTCCTCATGCTCCGCGATTTCTACCGCAGTGTCGAGGGCTTCCAGCTCAATGCAGGAAGGGCGCCTCGAGAACAGGTAGGTGCGCTTGCCACAAGCGCACAGCCCATCGTGATCCCACATCTCGCGGGAGGGCTCCTCGAGCATACCCTTGATGCTTGACTCCTCGATACCCTTCGAGGCGTCAAGCCTCAAGGCCTGAAGCACTTCAGAGCCCAAGGCTACCTTTCCTGTGACTCCGAATCCTCTGAGCGGAGGCTCCGGAAAGTCCTTCTTCAGCTCCGGGCACGCTTCGGCGATCTCGGTGTGCCCACTCTGGGTGCGCCAGAGACGAGGCCGCAAGGCCCAGACACCCTTGATTCCGGCCCAGGCTTCGCCCGCAGCCCACGCCTGAAGGTTACGGGCCTGGGGCCCCCTTGACCCAAGACATCTTCGGAAGATCATGCACTGCTCCACCGAGTCGCCAAGGCCCTCATCGTGCAAGCGGACTACCTGTCGCGCCTTCAGAGCGACCACACCGTCATCTTCACGTTTCGGACGGGCAACGGCCCACAACTCATGGTGCCGCTTCTCCAGGAAGTAGCAGCAACCTGGCGCGAACAGTGCCAACAAAACAAGGTGACCAGATCGCTCAAACAGACCCTCATTCAGTACCTCGCAGCGGAAATCGTCACCAGGGTCACTGCATTCGCGACCGACAAGGAGTCCCAGGCGAAGGCCCAAGAACTGGGGTGGATTACGTCCAATCTGGAATACAATTTCTTGCTCGTCCCCCCACAGGCGGAGACGCTCACCCAGGACCAAATCCTAGCGGACGCCAGGCGTCTCAAGACGCTGTTGAAACATCCGGATCTTGTCTTGAAGTTCAGTGGAGGCCGAAACGCCAAGCCAGACTCGACGTCAGAGACAGCGAGCTTTGTGTTGGAACTGTCCATGCAGCTGCCCGAGGCAGCGGAGGCGATGGCGATCTTTCGGAAATGGTATGCCAACTCGGCGCTCCTGCTCCTCTCCCTCCGCCTCAAGCCGGCCCGCCCGGAGCGGTCGCCGCTGATCAAGGAGCTTCAAGAGGCTGTGGGATGGTAGATGGCAGGGAGCTCAGATCATCCCCACTGCGCTGTTGCGGCTTGTGCTGCACAACCCGGACAATCTCTGTTACTTACACGCCACTGCCTACATACTAGCTTTCATTCAACATCAAGCAGGGTCCGGCGACCCCTTCCTGTTGAGTGATGCTGTCACTAGGCCAGGCGAACGAGTCACCCTCCCTGATTTGCCCGGGTGGAGCTCCCTCCTGCACGACTGGACAAACTTGCATCGACAACAAGACTGTCTTGAGCTCATTCATCATTTACTTAACCCGCACTGCCCCGCACACCTGCACTGTCAGTGGGAGGCCAGGCCGGTGCCTGGCACCATTGCTGCTCGACGGCCCCTCATACGCGGCCTTTTCAGTGTGGATCTTCCCCTCCCTAAGAAAACCTCCAGCACTACCATTCAGGAATGCATTGCGAGTTGGCACGAGCAGAGAATCCCTCATGGTCTCTTACACGCACCGCAATTCCTGCTAGTTAGCCTTGCTCGCTATGCTAACCCAGCCAAAGGCAAAAACAAGACGCGTGTGCCATGCAAGGCTTTGCAACATGCCAGCTTCCCTATCTTTCGAGGCCCGGGACACGAGATTCACTGGGCTACTTACGAGCTGGTCCTCACCCCAGCAAGGCCATTATCGTGCATTTCTTGCGCATCCACGTGATGTCCAAACCGATGCATCCCAGGTGCTCGCTGCTTCCTCCTTTGGAGGCGTCACGCCTGCAGGTGCCACGGGGCTTTCGGCCCCCTTGGGGAGGCCGCCGGCCCCTTCGGGGAGCCCGACCTACACCTGGTGGTGTACGGAAGATAATCAACCACCCGAGATGTGTCATCCAACATATGCTCGGATCCTGAGTGAGGATTGCTATATGCTATATTCTCTGTTTTCGTCTCACTAGACTCTGATCTGTATAGCAAGTGATGCCGGTGTTAGTATGAGACTGTGCACTGCAGATCTTTGCAGTCCGGTCTTTGAGTTCTGTTTCAGCTGTTTCGTCGAGCTGAATGTTGTATAAGGCGATGTACATCTACAGCTCTTGTCAGCCGCGCTGAATTCAATCTTGAATTCGGCGTGTCGCCTACGCCGCGCAAGGGACCAGGGAACGGTTCTGCGATCGCAAAGTCAAAAAGTCTCTCTGAAGCAGAGAAGCAGAGGCGCAAGCCGTGAGTGAGTTCCGGGATCGTAGGCTCAGTGCTGACGATGATGCATGCCATGACTTGCTTGGCCGGAGTTAGGCTCGTTCATCAAGTTCTTCTGCTTGTCTGCACGTGATGGACAGCCAAAGTTGCGCGTTTGGATCAATCTTTCTGTGTCTGAAGCCTTTTGGCTCCTGGCTGGTTTGCAAAACCCTTCCCTGATTCGTGTCTGGGTCGTACATCGTCTAAAGGTACAACCTCAAGATGTCATGTAGGCTCTTTGCAACCTTGGGGCTCTGCCCCAGGCAGGGGCTGCTTCCAGGATTTTTTCCATGGCCTGCTCTGTCAAATGGCCTTCGCATGGCTTACCTTGCGCTTGGTGCTGGCAAGTGCCATGCGCCCTGCCGAGGACCCTGATCAGGCTTCGAAGATATCTTGATTGTATTGGAGTATCTCGCAGGACCTCCATGACGGGAGGTTGGTGCAAACTTCCCACGATCAGGCCTCCGCAAGCTGCGGTTTACATGGAAGCATGCAAGAAGGTCTTGGCCCTCCAAGCAGGTGCCATCCAGCATGCTCGTCAACAGTGTCAGCGACTGTAGCTCGGTGAAAATCAGGGTTGTTCGGGGACACCCACAGCAAGATGTCAGCCAAGGTGAACGAGACGGCGCTAACCTCAGAGTGGCGTTGCAAAAGCTCGGTTTTGCGAACGAGAAGCTGAATGGAGACGATCATTGCGAATGGGAATCGGAGGGCATCTTTTGCAGCAAGACGGAAACACACTGTGTGGAATATATCTGGTTGCATGAGAAGAATTTGACAGGCAAGCTGTCTGTGGAACTCGGCAAGTTGACCAGACTTACCCACATGTGGTTCGGTGAGAACCCGCAATTGTCTGGCAATCTCGGGACCTTGAGTGCCCTTGCGGACCTCGTGCAACTGGATCTGCAGAACACGAAGGTCACGGGAGAGCTAAACACTTTGAAGAATTTGAGGAAGCTGCAGTTTCTGAATCTATTCCATACGAAGGTTCATGGGAAGCTGGAGGCTCTCTCAAATCTGGTGGAACTCGTTGAGCTGGACCTGTCCAGGACAGGAATCAGAGTCTCCGTCGAAACGCTGAAGAACTTCGACACCATGACAAAAATAATGCTAGCGGAGACGCAGACCAGCGGTGAGCTGAAAGCCCTGAAAAATCTTCACAAGTTGCGTCACCTGGATCTGTCCAAAACGAACACCACAGGAGTTCTGGAGGATCTCGTGGACTCAGAGCATCTGGAAGAGGTCTCGCTGCGAAGTACGAAGGTGACCGGACGTCTGACTCCCAAATGGGTTGGAAAGCTTGGAGCGCTGAGGGTTCTGGATTTAGCAGTCCGCCCCTAAGGCCGAAGGTGTGCTTGAATCTGCACGTGAGTTCCGCGCTATGCCCTGCCTGAGCGCTGAGGACACCCAGGCCCGTTTCGTGCCGACGGCAGAGGATGTACGGGAGCTTGAAGTCGGAGGCATCCTTCCGTCCTTGGCAGTACTAGATGTCCCTTGCCTGCCATGCATGAGAAGCAACTTCCGTTGTCGTTCTTGCAGCAGATCTCAGGTCTCTGGATGTCCACTGAATGCTATGGTGGAGGATCTCCTTTGGTGTTTTATACAATCAGACCGCTTGGCAAAAGTGACAGCCGCTGGGTCGAACTTGACCGGCACGCTGCCTAACATTGGTGAGCATGCTCTAACGCGTTCTCTCCAAACACTGGACTTGTCCGAGAACCGGATCAACCATGTGGAGGGAGTGGTTGCCGGAAGCCTTCTCTCCCTTGCGAACAATCCCACCATATCCTTCGCACCCGGCGTCCTGGCCAGAGCCATGAAGCGAAAAACCAGGATGGACCTGCGAGGAGTACGTGTTGCGGAGTCGCAGGTCGACAACGAAACAATGAATCTGCTGGCAAAGCTTCGTGGAGAGACGCCGGTCCAGATCGACAACGGGCGGATTCAGTGCTACAAGTTGAAGGGCGCGACGTTGGACGTCACTCCGGGTCTCTTCTTGATCGATCAGTTTTGCAGCCCCTCCGCAGGGTATGCGCGCCTCTGGGCCTCGGACGCGACGGGTCATCAGTGCCGATCTTAGCAAACTTCTCTTCGCAGCATGGCCAGGCTGAGGCCAATTCGCTCCAGAGGTGCTTCTTTCCGGCGAAAGAGCGATGCAACGCGACGAACAGCAACAGCGAATGGAAGCAGATTGGATGCGCTGAAGGCAACTTTGCTGGACATGGGGGGGCTGCTTTTTCTCCTTTTGCCAGGGAGTGGAGCCCAGGCTACGAAGGCGTTCTCTGCAGCATTTGTGCAGATGATTTCCGAAGCAGCGCAGGCCGCTGCAAGAGGCGGACTGGAATCCCTCCTTGTGGGTGGTTGTCAAAATTGGGGTCCCTTTTTGGGTATCTTAAAAAATAGGTGCCGTATTTAATACGGCACCTATTATGGCAGACTATTTTTTTGGCTCTCAACACGCCGTCTGTGGACCCACAGCCCACCCGGACCCTCATACCCTCATGCTTGAGCAGCAGCCAGATTAACAGGGACCCAAAAAAGGACCATAATTTTGACAACTAGCCATGTCTTTTCTGTATTGAACCAAAGCAAGACTGCGGCAGGTGCCCGGCAGACGCCGCAAATGTCCGCCAGTGGCTCGCAGGGGCTGGTCTGCTGGTCGCGTCGGTCGCAGCAGGTCTCTATGTTGCGTGGAGGAGCCACGGCTTGGCAATCCCAGCAGTCTTGAGACATTTCGCGAAGAAAGAAAGGTCCCCGTAAGCCTAAGCCTGTCAGGAAGTGCTCCGAGCGGCTTCCGGAACTGCAGGAGGCCAAACCGACGGATGCATCGCGGCCGCAGCATCCTGAGTGTTCTTGCGGGTGCCATTTTGCCTTCTGTCGGCAGCTCCGAGGCCCTGATCCCGTTGCTGCTTGGGCAGGGTCCCGTCCTTTTGCAGTTCGTCCAGCTCTGGGCACTCCTTGCAACTCTTGGCTCTACGAAGACGGCTTCTGCGGCAGATGAGCAGCTCCAGCAGGTGCATCGCATGCATGACTACTCGGTGTAAACGGCTCTAGACAGAGTAGCTATCACTCACTCCTTGACTCGCTCCGCCACTCTCCTCTTCCTTTTCTCTTTCTATGCGTGTTCTCCTTTCATTCATTAGATTTGCTCTGCGTCGCCATCTTTCGCTGTCTCGTTCTCAGTTCGTTTCTCTTGCTATTTCTCTGCTTTAATGTTCCTCTCTTTTTCAGTTGGCGTGTTTACTTATCATTCTTTTCCTTTCTGTTGCTGTGCTTTCTCTGATTCCCTCTTTGTCTTGCAGTACTGTACCTAGATCAGCCCATATCACCCAAAAAGTTCGGACATGTTGCAGTGCTTCCTGACGCCATGCAAAAGGAGGAGCTGTCCCGATGGTTGGAGCTGACAGCAACTGGCATTGCTGAAGCGATTAGCGTGCAGTGTATCTTCGGCAGGACCGGGCCCATCCATCTGAGTCAGGCTGTTGTTACGATTAGGCAGCTGTGCTTTGAAGTCCTGGGTATGTCAACGATAGTAAACGTTTGCGTGGTGTGCCGTTGAGACCTGTGCAGATGGTGTGAGGCTGGTTGTGAGCTTCAGCGCCCTTGCATCGCCGAGCCTGCCGCTGTTCTTGCTGATGCTTTGCCTTCTCGTGGAAGTGCTGGATTGGAGTGGAAAATTATTCCGGCATGGCAGAGGCGGATACGAGTTCGACAGGTGTGCCATCATACACATTGTTGGGTTGCTCAAGGTCACATAGCATGATGCAGTTGCTTGCTCTGCGCTGAATTCAGCAGTCAGCAAGTCATGTAAAGCCGTCACAAAGTGCTTCAGTCGGAACGGTGGCCCGCATCTGCCAGGGCTCGGCATCGATTTGGCATTGAAGGTGCTGTTGTTTTTCTTCATTGGCGGCGCGGCGAGCTGCGAGAAGCTCCTGCGCTGCCAGGAAGTTGATGCAGGCAGGGCATCACAGACATTTGATTAGAAGATGAGACTCTCAGAAAACCCGGACAGACACACAAGGCGGAGACGGCTTGGGCGCTTACGCATACCGCTTTGCGCTGCCCCAGCTGAGGACAGAAGTTTTCTAGCCTTTTGCCTCTAGCAGATCTAGCACAAGCTTGAATTGGCTGGAATAGTGCCCGTGGAGGTGTGAGGACTCTACGAGTGACGAAGCCGTCTGGGTCGGGCCCCAAGGGATGAGCTGGACTGATCTGAACAATACTGGCATGGAAGGATCTTTTTTGATCTGAGGCAACTTATGTGGGATACGGCTCTGCCGTCGCATATGGCCTTCTCATCCCTGGCTTCTTGATCTACCTCATTACGAAGCAGAACGTAGCCCTGGCTCCGAACCGGCGCTGTGTCTCCTGGGCCAAAGTAGATGAGCACGAAAAGGTGATTGTGCGGGCCAGCCTCATCGAGTTTGTGTTGAAGGATGGCGACACGGACGAGGAAGGTCTCCGTGTTTTTGTTTGGGGTTCAGGAAATTTAAATCGCCTGGTCGTCGTTACCCCAAATACCTTCCCTGTGCCGTGATTAGTTGATCAAGCTCCTGTGTGTTCTTGGGGTTAAGAGCTGCCATAATGAATTGATGTGACGATGCCGGTGGCTTGAGCAAGGTCGGTTGGAGAGAACAATCTGGAGAAGTTTAGCGGTTGAGCCCTCGTAGCACAGTATCCAAGCTTTTGGTGTTCAATCCCGGTAGTCTTCAACTCTGAGGCTGTCAAGAATTCAAGAACTCAACGGCTTAGTTCGGAACGTTTCCAAGAGACCCCTCGTGGCCACACGCGCTTCGATTATCGTTTGTCGAGATTGGCAGCGGGACATATAAATTTGCTCACGGTTGCCACTGAGACATGCCTGTCACAACTGCTCCCGCTTGGTCATACGCCTTCTCTGCAATCCTGGGCGTGATGCCTCTCAGGTCATAAAATTGTGACAAGTTCAGCTGAACAAGTTTGCTTCCTTTGTGGCCGCTTCGCGACAGATGTTGTGCTGTCAAAGATAAAAGTCCCTGGCAGACGCGGCGAGCGTGGGACTGTGGCTAGAAAACAATTCTAGTCCATAATGTGCAGCTACTGTGGGTGCAGCATCACGGAGAAATACTCTTGTCACACTGTCCGGGGAAGACTCAGGCAGCCAACATGCTTCCGCGCAGAGGTGTAGCGTGTAGGCTTTGCACCCAAACTCGTTCCATCATGCAGCTCTGATTGACCATTCACGGAGGAGGCAATTAGTTCGACGGTTGCACCCTGAAGTTTCCGCCCAAGACATTGAGACCCACATCGTCAATCTGGAACCTAATGCCCAAACTTTGTCGCTGGTCTCCAAGCCGCGAAGCTTGCATCCGCCCTCAAGCAGGATGCAGACCTGAAGGCACGGCTCAACAAGGCCTGTGACATGAGGTCTAGTTTGCTTGCATTCAGAGTTAGAGATAATCTGAAGTCAAGCTCACGTAAATCGTGCATACCTGATCCACCGAAGAAGTGAACAAGCGCAAGCAAATTCGAAAGTAGGGAAGTACAGCGAAGGGTTGGCACCGAAGAGCAAGGCCGTGTCATGCTGTAATTAAACTTGAAGAGCACCTTTCGACACCATGCGCAGGAGAGCCAGCAGCAGAAGAAGATAGTTTCCGACAACCTGCTGGCAGCGGCCATTGCCTACAGCGCAGTCTTCCTTTACGGACACAAAGTGCACATAGTGCAGGATGAAAAAGCCGAATCTCTGCCGCTTGGGCAGCAGTACGAGCTGCATCTTCGCTGCTGGCACTCGCAGAGTTTACTTAAAGGATCATGGGACTTAGTAAGTAAGGTTATAATTAGGGTAACTATACTTATAACACCCCAATTAAGGTACTTATAACCTTACTTACTAAGTCCCAGGATCCTCCGTAGAAAATGCGTGGCACGGCGAACCAACCCTCGGCCGGCGAAAAAGGCTTAACCAAACTGCCTGAAGCATCACAGGATGTTGGAAGGCGCAAGCATCGACGACGGAAGCTGTGAGGGTTTGGAATTCGATGCTACTTGGCTGCAGGCTCGTGGCAAAGAAACTCAGTATATCTTAGTGTGTTGAAGAAACAACCCCGGCTGTTAGAAAAGGCGACGACCGCCTTGACCACTGCCCTGTCGACCATCTCCACCAAAGAGCACCAGATTGATATTGCAATGCGTCGGTGGCAAAGTATCACCAGGCTGCAGTAGAATCAGTGCTACCTTGCTCTAAGCATGTTTTTCCGGGTTGCCCTGAGGGTTGGACAGGCCCTGAATTACGTCCGAACAACGAACGGGGCGCACCGCTACTTGTCAACTGGTCTCTGACATCTCAATCGAAACACTGAAACAGATACACCATAATCACATAAAGAAGCTGTTTCTTTGTGCAGCCCACCATCATGTCTCAGAAGTGTTCTCCCATGCATCGAAAACTTGCTGCATGCTGACATTTACGTTTCGCACGGCTCGCGGCCGAAAGTTGTAGCAGCCACCTCCGGACACGTCTAGGGCAACATTCCAGCCATACGAGAATGTGCTTCAAGCAGATTCCCCGGCCGAATGTGTCAGGATGCTGGCGGAGCGCGAGATGCTCGAGGACAAAGCTGATTCCGACAGAGCCTGGGCAGACTCGGAAGCGTGAATCGAGATTAGTGTTTACCAGCGTGCAACCTCCATGCAGCTTCCATCAGTGTTAATCCGTTTTGGGCTTTGCATTCAGTCGTCGTGGCATCGATATCACAAAGCATAAAGTCCATCGATCTGAGGGGTTCTGGCCGGTGCCAAGACGATCTTCTTCAAGTATGCGCCCTGGCTGCGCCGTCCGGCCTCCGGGATCTAGGCTTCATGCAATCGAAGTGCTACAGAAGCCCCGAAGAAGGAGTGCTGCTCTTCCATCGGTTGATGATGTTTGCGGCTCTGTCTCGTCCTGACTGAGGCTGCATGCGAGGACGTCTGGGTAGAAGCATTACTCAAAGTGGTTGCCGTTGCTTTGGTCACTACTGTGACGTGGCGGCAAAACAGTCACATGTGCCTTAAGTACAGTCCACCTCTTCTTCCGTGAATTTGCATGAACATTTATTCAGAACGGCCTCCATGCTGTGTATTCCCACGGACTGTGCTGCCACCACATTGTTTTGATAGCCACATCACAAGCAAATCTTGCAGCCTGCTAGAATTTGTGATGTCCACTGTAGCCGCCCTGCACTCCCGCGTCTGTGACCACGAGCTACTCCGGAGCCGGAATGAACATGCTCAAAATTCGCCACCCTCTGCAGGGATCGTGCGTGTTTCGTTTTTTTGTTTCAAGCGTGATAGCCGCGAACGGTCGTTTTTTGCGGTGCATTGGCCGCTTCGGCTTCTCGTGCATGATGAAAATTCGAGACTTTCTGCGGGGGTCGTTCGTTTTTGCTGTTTGGCTTCAGACAGAGGCGACAGCTGCATGCAAGAGAAGCCACTGTTGCCCCGTGACCATCAGTCAAAGGCAGAGTCTTCCTAGCTATCCACCCTGTGACTGAGCGCAGGAACGATCACTGTCACAAACCGAAATCAATTGTGGGGAAGGCCGTGGCCAATACAGTGCCTTGCACGACGGAGGAGTTTGTTGTATATGGTCGGCCATGGCGAATCCACTCAAAGGCATGCTGCTCCCGATGATGTCCACGGCGTGGCATGACAAAGGCAGTTGGTTTCCGTTTCCAGGATGATTCTGTTGGGCTCGACACAGATCGCGCGGGTCGTGGTCGTGAGGACCCTTCCCATCCAACGGCTCCAGCAGAGCTTGTCACACCCGTGTCACACTCAGTGTAAACAGACAAAGCAGACCAAAGGGCTGTTGGAATTTCAAGCCCGCAGATTCGATTATATCACATTTTCCGAACGTGCCTAGCAAGTTATAGTGGAGCAGACAGCATTCGGCAGCAGACATTCAAACCCACAGCAGACAAAGCACGAAAGTTGCTGCCGGGGAAGCACGTTCGCTTTTAGGCAATGGTGTGGGAACATTATTATCGCCTGCCACAGGCTTCGAACTATTCGTTGAAGATGGACATGAACGCACCTGAATCGTCCAGGGCAACTTTCAAATCCATATCAGGTTTACGTGAAGTCCTTGCTGCTGACACTTTTCATCACGGTTGGCATGGCCATTCTCCTTGGTGCCCAGAAGCCGTATCAGCAGCGTCAGGCCAGTGAGATTACAGAACTTAGAAGGCAGGCTTGTCATTGTAGGGAACGTGAATAGAACTTTGAGCATCTAGAACCCATCTCCGTTCTCAGAGGGAGAGCAGGAACACCTGTAGCCTGCAGGAATGCCGTGAGTTTTCAGCTCTTTGCGCAGTTTGGTGTAAGAAGCGACGGAGTCAGATGCGCTGCTGATCCACGGGTCGGGTCCCAGCACCTGTGCGGGAGAGTGTGGCTGTTGCTCGGCAGGTGAATGACCTGCAGAGCGGCTGCTTTGTTTGCGCCTTGGCCAAATCAGTCCCCAAAGTCTATCAACTGCAATGCGGCGGTTGCCGGCGGCCTCTGCAAGGCCCCTGACATCAATCCGCTTACAACTCCCTTCCCGTTGCCCAAGGCTTGTCCGTGGCAGCCGTGGCCTTGAAGTTTGGCAGCTTTCAGATCTCTCGATTTGTGCTCGTCATACCCTTCCTCGCGGCGTGCGTGCAGACGCTGCGGCCAGGCCACGACAATGAAGAGCAAAAGCTATCAATATCGCAGCAACAGATGCCGTCTTTTTGTGTGACATGCCACTTACCAGCGTGCGGTCTCCGTGTCTGTTTGCCTAGCATGTTCCGATGCTATTAAGTCAGGTGATGTCTATAGGGAAGAGCTATGGCACGTGAGTGTACTAGTCCGACATTTTGGGGTCCGCAGAACTCGGGGCCTTGACTTTGTGAAGGGCTGACTCGCGAGCAGATCAGTTTTAGCATGTCTGCGACCCGTCCAAGCCCCTTTGCACTTCTGTATTCTCACTTGCTGTCGGGCTTGCTGCCCTCTGTGTGCAGATGGCGCCGAAGCCCTAGCGCTGCGACTTCACAAGGCCAACCGTCATTCAGATTTCGTGTTGTGGAACTGGCAACATCTCCACAGTTACAGTTGCAGCTGCTTTCATGTGTCATGGCAGCGCATTCAGCCGAACTTGGCTTCATCTGTTGAACTGAAGTCCTGACTCCTTTGTCATGGCATGTTGCCATGGTCTGATGCCAAAGATGTGCATCATATCAGGGTGGGACTTCTGCCACCTGCCAGGAAGCCAAGAGAAAGATGAAGGACGGCAGCTCCCTTGACCTGGAGGTGAAGAAGGTCAAGTTCATCTGAGTGGGCCCTTGGAAAAATCACGCGGCACGCAATGTCCATATGCTCCAGGCATGCTGAAAGGGTGATGTTCGCCTGGCATCGAAGTAGAGCCAGTGCAAACCTCCAATCCTTCCTGAAGCAGATTTTCCGATTAACGTATGTACCTCACCTGAGCATAGCCTCGGACACCCGACAACATGAGTAGAGATATCGACATCGATGCTTCCTGAGCAAAGTGGTGTTGCGACGTGCCGACTCGGAAAGGGGACGACGTTGGTGACTTCGTGGGCCTACTAGTATCATGTCATCTGGAAAGCAATCGTCGTGGTTGACATTGCGATTCTGAGTTCCGTAGTGGCGGAGGCAAGCTGGAACACACAGAAAGCTAACATTATGGACTTAATATCCCGATCCAGATTCGCTAGCACGGCTTGGAATCACACAAAACGACTGCGTGCTCACCACGCGGCGGAGGGCGTAGCTTCTCACCCCTTCTTGTGAAATCTTGTAATGTATCCATTCGTAGACAGCACCAAAATCTCGCATGCCTTCCCTAAACCTCAAATCCTAAACGTAGTAGTAGTAGTAGTAGTAGTAGTAGTAGTAGTAGTAGTAGTAGTAGTAGTAGTAGTAGTAGCAGCAGCAGCAGCAGCACTACAGCGATTATCTCACCGGTGTGGCGATTATGCCTTGATGGCCCCATGCATTACCCGCGCCGCGTGGGGCTTGGTCTTGGGCGTGTGGCTGTGGACTTGGGTTCCTTGCGATAAGATCGGCTTCGCGGCCATTCCAAGGCCTCGGTGGGGAACTGGGCACTGATTTGGGCACAATGTGGCGGTTTAGTGATTGTGTATCTGGATGTGGTTACGACATTGTGAGCAGCGCCACGAATTTTGAAGCTTCTGGAATTCCTTTGTCGAGCTTGTGGAGCTTCAGTTAAACTAAGCCGAATGGTCATGGATAAAGTCCTTTGCTTATAAAGTGGGTCGTGCAGTGTAGCAAATGCTTGGCACTGCCAGAGAAGCGTGGCGACGCGTTCTGAAGCACGTCAGTCAGTAAGAAGTGTGGAATGGACAAGTGCTCGATGCTGAAGTTAAATCCACATCGATTTGGCAAATAGGCTTCTGCTGAAACACAAAAGCTTCAGAGGCTCAAAGCTTTCTGTAAATTGATATGTTGAAATCTCCCAGTTATGAAGAAACTACCGTGGACATATCCTATCGGAAACGGGATCTGGTGCAGCACATGTGAGCCACTTCTAGGTCCCAGCAGTTGCAAAGCAAGATGGCGGCAGTCGGCCCACCGTGCATCCGAGCAGTGTTGGCTGGAGCTGGTGTGGCGATGATGGGCGAGGCACCTGTGGTCACGGCTGTGTTGCAACTGACTCAGAAACAGCCTTCCGAGGTGAGGCTTCTCTACTTGGGCACGGCTACATATGACATAGCTTCATTTAGGCAGAAGCAGACGGGGGCGTTTGCAGATCGCGGCGTGGTCATCAACGCCTTAGACGTGGCATGCCGAACGCCGACGCCAGCTGTGGTTGAGGAAGCCATAAATGGTGCAGACATCATACTCGTTTCAGGCGGGAACACCCTGTTCGCGGTGGACCGCTGGCACAAGGCTGCGATGGTGGAGCCACTGCGCCGGGCCATGGGCCGTGGGGCGGTTCTCTGCGGCGGCTCGGCCGGAGCCGGTTGCTGGTTCGACGCTTTGCACTCGGACAGCATGGATCCCGATTGGTATCGGGACATCATGCTGGCGGGAAAGGGTGCAGCCGCAGAGAAGGCTCCTGGTGAGGCCTCGTCGGCCGGCGAGAGGCGCGAGTGGGAGTATATCCGCGTTCCCGGTTTGGGCTTTCTGCCAGGACTCCTGTGTCCGCATCACGACCGTGTTCAGAGTAACGGTGTTCTCCGCTCCACCGACTTTGCCGAGATGCTGCGACGCCATCCGGGCGAGACAGGCTTAGCCATCGATCATTTTGCCGCCCTCGTGCTGCGCGACGCTGAGTATCAAGTGCTTACGCTGCCAGAGAAGCCAGGCTCCGTCATGCCAGACGGTACGAATCAACCTGGCCAGGGCATTCCGGGTGTTTGGCTGAAGTCTGTGACTGTGGATGGGGTGATCCAAGAGGAGGCACTTCCCAAACAGGGCCCCACAGCGGCATTACTTCATCCAGCACGAGCTATTGTGGAAGATGTTCGCGTGGAGAAGGTTCGTGCGGCCAATCCCAGCCATGACCTCTAACAGATAAGAACTAGGGGTACCTTCTCTTAGGGTCCTTGCAATAAGGATCCTACTATTTAGGTTACCATATTAGGGTCCCCTATTCTCGGAAACTCCCATGTTAAGATTCCGGAGAAGGCCTCTGATCAGGTAGTCTGAGCTGGCGCGATGTCTTCTGCTTAGCCAGGCTCTGATCTTCTAGGAAGCCGGAAGCGGATTGATTGCAAATTCTGTGAGAAAGCAATGGAAGTGCAGTGCCCAACTATCTGCCAAGCTTCCTTTTTCACCTTCCGACTGTCTTCGTTGTCTCTTTCAGGCTCTCTCTCTCCTCTCTCTCCTTTGTCTTTGTGATTCTCCCTTACGTATCTTTCGTGTCGTGTGCAGCTGCAGCTGATGAAGCCATCGCAAGGATTGGCGTTGAGATTTGAACTGAAGGCATCCAAAGTCTGCACCTTCTGGCTGTTTGGCTCTCGCGCACGATGTCAGTTTCGGAATGCAGAACCTCTATCAGAAACCATGAAGAACAAGGACCGCGACCAGACACCTTCGTTGCATTGCGTGTAGTGAGGATGGGTTGTTGATGGCAGACGCACCCATGTTGCGAGCTATGGAGGTACACTCGCTTCCCACCTTCGCTTGCACGAAGTTTTAGTCTGCATTCGCCAGGTCGTGATCCCCTTGAAGAGTGGAGCAAACTTATCTGGACATAGCCCGAGCCCTGAGCATGGCAAGAGTGTTCTCGCTCCCTCTCTATCCTCCTCTGTCTCTCCCTCTCTTTCCTCTTGTTGAATGCACTTGCGTATACGGGTACTTGGTGTATGTTTCGTATGGTTGTTTACGTACATGTATCAGCCGTTCGAAGCTCGGCGCTTTGCAGGCCAGCAAGACATACTCAATGCCGTGCAGGACATTGGAGCCCGTGCTTTTGTTGTGAAGCCCTTGAGATACGGCAAGAAAGTTCGTAGCAGTGCTGCAGAAGCATAGCCAGGATGAATACTTTAATCGGTACTTGGACCAGCTGGGCATCGCACCCACCGCTGCGAACAAGGTGGATGCAGGGTTTGGGAGGTAGAGCTGGGCACCTCTTTCATCGTCTTGCACCTGACATGTACGGTTCTGTTGTGCAGCTCCCTGTTGGAACGTCAGGCACAGATGCTCAAGTTTCGCCCCATGGACGATTGTGAAGTGCATTCGATGTGGGCCTAGTCCTCAGAACATGCTTCAAGCTTCTTTTGGACCTTTAGTGATCGGAAGCCAAGGCAGATGACACGAGTTCAGGTCTCGCAGCTGCACTTCGCATAGCTCCCCCGCTGCGCCATCGAAGCTTGGCATCATCGGGTTGAGGGTTTAAGGTCATGGGTTTTGGGTCTACTCCGATACTACCGTATGGGACGACGTGCTTGAACTGCAGGTGTGGGGTATGAGGACGAAGAGCCTTTAGACAGAGGCCATCCAGCGTTGTGGAGTTCCTTGTGCAAGCATCTCGCTTCTAGAAGCACGATTTCCTCTGATCCCTCCTTGCCGCTCCAGCCATCATCGCCCACCTGTACGGAGAAGCAGATGATATACCGGTGGAGCCTCCGAACGTGCCGGGGCAGCTTGGTGGCAATCCATTCCCTTGTGATAGAATGAAGGTGTCTGCAAAGCACACTCCGCAGCCTCCCAAACTCCGAGCACGAAATGCCCAACCTAAACACAAAACCCCCCAAACCCCTAAACCGTGAAACTTAGGCGCACGATCTTCCCCGTGGACTTGTCCAAGATGTTCGAGCCAGAGAAGAGGCCCAGAAATGGCCCAGATGTTGTGAACTGCTCGGGTTCGGGTCGACTTTAGGGGTTTAACGTTTAGGGTTTCGGGATTAGGGTTTAGGGTTTAGGGCTTCAATGTTGTGGGCTGCTACGGACAGGAACTGGGACACCCTAGATCCGAAAGGCCTGCGACCTTGAATCCTCAAACCTTTCGAGCTCTAGCGCCCAGAAGCTCCATTGGCCCTAATGTTTGTTGAGGGCCCTTTCCCATGGAGACCACTTAAACACAAGTGTTCTTGCAAAACCGTACACCCAAAATCCCTAAACCCTGAATTCCGAAACCCGGAAATCCTAAACCCCAAAATCCCAAACCCTAATCTCAAACCCTAAAGAGGCGTGGCCTTCTTTGGAGTGTCTGGGCATTTTCGCGGTGACCAGGCAGAAGGCCGACGTCACCTTGGCCGAAGTCCGCAAGCACAAGCCCGGGCCCCACCTACGCTAAAAGTTTAGGGTTAGGGGTTTTGGCTTAAGGAGTGCTGAAGGAAACTACCGTCAACTAAACTGTTGGGATTTATGAGGGTTTTTAGAGTTTTGGAACAACTATGTCGTACAATATAGGACTTGATGATGACAAGGTGGCGGAATTCTGGGCTTGCTGCTGCACTCTCTTAGTTGTATGTTATGAAGGAGCAACCAAATAGCAAATGATGGGTGGCACAATGAGACACGCAGAAATAAGTTCCTATGTGTATCGTTTTGTAGACTTGTGTATGATAGTATCGTGTATTGGGTATGCTTGTTGCAGAACATCTTGGGGCCAAGCTGCAGCAGGGCCGAGTACGAAGAGAGAGTCCGGCGGCGCGCGACAGCCGTCACAGGCCACCCACTCGAAAAGCTGCATTTGGTTCCTCAAGATTGGCTTCGAAAATTTTTGTAACGGGATGAACCTCTCGATCTATCTGATTCTGCCATGGCTTCTTTCCGTAGATTGAAGGACAGTTCCTGCTTGAATCTGCAGGTGCCGGCCACGCGGCCGCACACGGCAAGAG